AGTGAAACACACATTACAAACTAATTTAAATCAAAAACACAATCTACCATATATATTAATGTGGGCTGCTTTTTCTTGCCATGTTTAAGCTTTTTCATTGTTTTTTTTTGCATGTTAAAAAAGAATTTTTCAAGTTTTAGCTATATTGTACATAGCAATGGTTAAGAGTTTATTTTCACATTTCCAGTTTTATTTCACGGATGATTTCACCACTTTTGAAAAAAGCAACTCATAAGTAGGATCCTGTCAGAGTTCCCCAGGAATTGCAAGTTTGGCCTCCAACTTTTAACAACCAAAACTTCTTTGCTTATGAGATACGACAATTTTTTGACGACAAAAAAAAATTCAATTGAAAAATAATCAAAAGCGTTGAAAATATCAACCCAGTAGTTGAATGTTCTAATTGTGTTTTCAGTGGTTGCATTTCTTGCCCTAATTTTTGACTGCTCAAATCCTTGTACTTTTCGAGATATGACGTGTTTTTTGATTACTTTTTATTTTAAAGAAAACTCAGCTTTCAAGAATTCAAAAGAATTGAAATTCCCAACCTTGTTTTGGGTACTGAAAGAGTGCTCTCAGGCGTTCAAAGTTTCCAATTTTTGTTCAAGTGCGACTGCTCGAATTCTTTTAGTTTCTGAGGTGTGACATTTGTTGTCTTTTTTTAAAAATTTTGTTCAAAGAATTTAGAAATAATTTTTTCTATGGATTTATTATTTCTATACGGCGATCTGACAGGGTACTCTCAGTAGTTGCATATTTTGTCTCCAAATTTGACTGCTCATTTGTTGTAGTTTCTGAGGTACGAAGTTTTTCATGGTTTTTTCAAAAAGATTTTTTTTAGAAACATTACGAGCGCAAACTGTGCATTCTGTGCATTGTAAGCGGATTCCGCAACAGACCAAAATCAACTTTGTCAAAAAATCTGCAACTTTGCTACTTTTTTTTGAAATTCTTCGCTGTTTAGGATTTCACAAACAAATACTTAAAACACTGTAGCGCTCAAAATGACTCCACAAATTGGCGCTTTTGAGGAATCCGCAACCGTATTTGCGGAATCCACAAAATTATTTGGAATCCACAATCAAATAATAGGATATTTGTATAGTTAAATTGAGCTGTTGCGGATTCCGCAACTGTAAGCGGATTTCGCAAATTGAAAGTGGAATCCGCATTTTGTTTGCGGAATTCATTGACATATGTATATGTGTAGTATAGCGTTCAAAATATATCTTTTAATTACTCGTCACCAAAAAGCAATCTCAATTTCTACATTGATCAATTTTCAGTTGAAATACCAAACGTTTGCTCTCAATCCTGTCAACCCAACTCCGATCTCAAACCCTCTCAACTTCGATCCCAATTCACTAGAATTGTAATCTACTTGATCATTAGTGTTTGGGATTTATGCAATCCCAAATTCTGACTTATTATGCTGTGCGTTGTGTTTGTATACTCTCTGAACCCAATGGTTACAAATTTTAAATAAATCGGCGTTATGCTGCCAAAAACAGTATTTGGTGTTGACACAATCCCAAATACTAGTCTAATTTAACGATATGCTGTGTGTTGTATTTCCATACCTTCTCGACCCAATGACTCCAAAAAATGAATTTATTGGGTAGTGTGTTTCCTAAGTACGAAAAAGTGACATCCTTCGATTTAGTTAACAAATGTTTTGAGTTTTGTTCGTGGATTCTGCTGACAACGATTAGGTCCTTACCTCTAATTTCGGCATTGCTATAGATAAAAATTCGAGCTCTAGCTTTTAACTGTTCATATGCAAGTCCAGTAAAAAAAAAACTCTGAATCCACTCACTGTTTGGTGAATCCACTTACATTTGCGGATTCCGCTCACAAAATCTGCGGATTCTACTTATATTTTGCGGAATCCGTTTACAGTTGCGGAGTCCAGAACAACTAGCTATGTTCGCTTGTTGCCGAATGCGCGGCACAATAAATGCGCCGACAAAATTTACGTTACAGGTATTTTGTACGCGGAATCCACGGAATTTTTGAAAGAAGAATTCACTTACTTTTTCGATTTTGTTTAACGGTTTGTCTATGGAATCCAGGAACATACAGACAAAAAATTGTGCGCCTATTCAGTGCACAGTTTGACCTCGTAATGAAGTTTACTTTTGAAGTATCTCAAATGAAAATCTCAACGCTGTAGTTGAGTACTGAGAAAGTGCTCCCAGGAGCTGCTAATCTTGCGTTCAAATGCGACTGCTTAATGGTTTTCAGAAACTTAAAATGTTAATTAAAACAATTTCGCACATTTTGTGCATCATCAGGATTAAATTTTTTTACAAGAGTTGCAAAACAATCAAAGATCTGAAAAACGATAAGCATGTCTAAAAATGCTTTAAAACGTTTTGACCAATCAAAATTGAACATCTGTAATTACATAATAAATTACGTAATCAATTTTAAAATTTTCCTGTAAATTTCTGATATTTCTTTTTAGCTTTTTGTTCTTTCCCAAAATTTTGATTTGGGAATTTTTTTGATTCTGACATGTCAGTTTTTTAACTTTTAGCCATGTTATACATAGACTATAATTTTAGTGTTAATTCCCGGCTTCTGAATTCATCGGGTGTGTTGATCCTTGGCCTCTCCCTCCAAACATGCAAAGCCTCTAGTGTGAGTAGCTTATGAGTGTTGGCTGTTTGGTTTATAATCTCTGACTTCAGCTCAGCAGTACTGCCTACCTCCTTATTACACTCTAACAAGTTTTGCCCTATTGGGGAGTCCCCTTTGCAGAGTTCATCGACCCTCGTGGCTAAATGTCGGACCGTCTGGCCGACATAGGCGGATTACATCCACTACATGTAAGCTTATACATCACTTTGGATCTCAGTTCACGAGCAAAGGAAGTTTTGAGAGATGGCAAGCATGTTTTCAATTTTCTTGTTGTAAGAAATATTTGTGCCCCGGAAATTTGCCGAACCTTTGAAGCTAACAGTTGAGATGGATTGTCTCGATTTTGCATTGTACAAATGGGGGGTGAGTCTTTTAGCCATTCATCATTTCTCAGTTCTGATGCCTTCAGCTCTAAATTTTTCTTTCCCTCAATGATCTTGTTAAGAGGTTCAAACACTGCCCTGTCCTACCAACTTTTCGGATATTGATTTGCAATCCTTTGTTTCCGATTTTTTTCCAATGCCTGGTCAATTTTTTCCCATGTTAAGGTACTTCTGAAAACACTATGAACCGTCCGTTCAATAAAGTTTCTTTTGTACTGCAAAGGTGCGCAACCTCTGAAAATTAGAATGGTGCCAGAATCAGTGGGTTTTTGGTACCACCCACATGTGACATTTAAATCCAAAAAGGCCAAGTTACCGTTACTATCGAGTTATTTTAAGGTGAACTGCAAGTTTGGATGCAACTTATTGGCTGCCTCGAGAACTAACCCAAGATCGCCCTTGACAGTTCTAACTATGTCGTCCTTATATCTTAGAAAAACTCTAACACCATTCTCAGCCCGATCTGCTTCCTGTTGTTTTTTGCAAGCAATGCAAAACCATACTGTTTCAGCGATGTCTGCGCATTCAGATTCCAATTTGTTACACCACCCTAAGTGGTACCAATTCCAACAAGCTTCGCATTCTACCCCTTTAGTACGATGTCACGTTTTTCTGACATCTAGGGCAGACCTCCTTATTACCCTCGTTTAGAACAGTCATTTTTGGTAATTCTTTCTTTAATGCAGGTTCGTATTCTTTGAGCCCCAAATTGGCCATAATTACTGCAAGGGAGGCGCCAATTGCTTAACCGTGTTTTTGTACCTACCACAAACAAATGTGTTTAAAGTGTACCTTACTCACTGCCAAATTTGGTAGTTTTTTCATAGACTTGCGAGATGTTTCCGGAGGGTTGACTTACTCATATAATCTCCTCGGGGCTATTTCAACCGCTTCCTTGAGCGGGAGATTAGTGTACAAACTCTTTACATCAAGGGAGATTATACTCTCATCAGAGTCCAGTGCCATTTTCCTCAAGATCTCCTTGGATGTTTGAAGAAGAACAAGCAGAAAGGATTAATTCCCTTAAATAATAAAATAAGGCAAAAAGAAAAACAAAAATATCAAGTCAAGATCGACAGTTTGAGCAGGTACACTTCAAGAACCATGAACATTTGAGTGTTCGTTTCTATGTTTGGCCCATCAATTTCATCAAAGTATTTTGCCAATATTTTATTTAGGTTGTCATATTAGCTACCAGGTAAAGTAGGGAAGGGACGAAGTGGTGTTAGTTTCTGAGAGGCGAAGTTCAAAGGATGCACATCGTATTTGCAAAAAATGCCGTTTCTTATGAGTTGTTAATAATTTGAAGCACCGAAGGTTCGTTACACACAAGTACAAATTTAATATAAAGAGGTAGAACTGTAATACAATCTTATTTTATTAAGCACCAGGGTCAATGCGGGAGCCTTGTGCTCTTCAATCCTGTTCAATGGGGATTTTTTTTTCTGTTAAAGTTGAACGCTTCAAGTGTCAACACTTTAGACTAGTCTCTCGTATCAATGATTTTTTTTATCTGTGCTGATACCACATGTAGGTGTTGCGCTAGTGATTCTTGAATGTTCGTGTACTCTGCTGTGCGACTGGTTGTCTGCAGGGCATAGCGAGATTGGCATCCAGAACAAGTGATCTCATGCACCTCGTTATTATGAACAGTTTTCGTTATTTTGATGTTAATTATCGTTATGGTTTCTTCATTAGTTCATGAAAGAAAATGGGAAATTGGGCTAAAATCGCATTTGTTATCCAAAGATGAATTTAATTTTAGCTCTTGTTGCATAGGGTATTGTAGCTCTTTTTGCGGCATTGTAACTTTCGCCCAGAATTTATACAGCGACGGAAAATAGAAAAGGTCCTTATGGACGACTGGCTGACGTCAAAAACCTTAATTCTATGCGTTGTCACCGTCTTGACCTAGCCAGTTGATTTTCGGCCTGTTTAAGGGCTAATCATGAGGATGCTGTGATTTAGGCTAATTGTTGTGATAAACTTATTAAATAGATTTCCTTTCCCCGTATACAAACTGGGTATTTTTAGGTATATGCCCTAGAGCTAAATCTAAAATCGCATTATTGAACGGAAAATTAGCAAAGTCCTGCAGCTCTAGGTGTTGCAGGTGAAGATTTATGCTGCACATTGTTGGCGCAAGCTCTTTTCATGCGGCCATCGACGCATCCCCTAGAAACTTCCAACGACAAATATTCCCCATCCAGACATCAGTAGGAGGATTGAGCATCAACCCTGCCACAAAAAAGAACTACCAGTCGATCCAGAAGAACGAAGACAAACTTATTCTGTGGCACGACTTGATAAACAATACTGTGGCCCCCCACCACAGCAGCAGTTGGAAACCTTGTTCAGTAGAACTACTGCTTTCGATTCTCCACGGACTGCGTCACTGGATTTCAACAATAGTATACACAAAACGAACCAACACCACAGACATAATCAAAAGATTGAGAATAATGGACATCCTCATTATTCCAGTAAAAAAGTTATTATCCACAAGAAAAAGAAAGAACAACAGAATCTTGCGAGATTCGAGGCAAACTCACCCGTCTTTGATCCTTGAAGAGAGACTAATCAGAACCGTCTCTAGAAATAGAAAATACTTGAAAAAACTAGTCCTGAAAAAACGATCAAAGTCTGCTACCAAGAAGTCAAAGAAACAGTCAACGTCGAAGCGAAGGCAGAAAAAGAACAGCAAAAAATAAAAAGTAGGAAGCTTTTTCTGAAATTACAAGGGTAGCTTCTTGGGACTTAATTGTCTTAGAGCGGCCCAGTAATAATCAGATTAGGGCTTAGTGTTTTTGAAGGAGAAATTACGGGGTAGCTTCTTGAGACTTCAGTGTCTTAGAGAGGCCCTGTAATTTTTGTGAAGTTGATTTCATTAGGTAGCTTCTTGAGACTTAAGTGTCTTAGAGCGGCCTGATAAAATCTACCTTAATTTGCCTTCAAAACTAAAAACTAGACGTAAAGGTACTGAATCTGTGAGTGAAATGGACGCTTGGCAATGTAAAACGTGCAATAAAACCTATGGTAACATCGATGATAAAATAATGGAGTAGGATAAATGTCATGAACACTTTTGTACAACATGCATAAATATGCCTGACCAAGTCTACGATTACATGTGTCAACCTGAAGTCATCTGGTGTAGCAGTTCCTGCACACCAAAGGTGAAACTTCTAATTGAAGCTGACAAGAATCTAGAACCGGATACACTACGGAGTGATCTGAACAAAACAATGGCAAACGTAAACTACATGATGAACGACTTCTAAAAGTTTGATGCAGGACCAAGAGCCGTGAATCAAACTGAACAGAAACCATGAGACGGGGCCCAACAACCGAAAGTCAAGCCACTAAAAGAAATTATAATGGAAACATCTGAAGAGCAAAAAAGAGAAGAAGAAGACGACAAAAGAAGAAAAAAGAACTTGATAATTTACAAAGCACCTGAGAGTACCCACCAAGATGGACATAACAGAAAGGTAGAAGAAAAACAACTGATAGAAACATTTCTAGCATCGGCCGAAATGGGAAACAAAACAGCCACAAGTTTTGTCCGACTTGGGAAGAAGAACGATGAAGCCACGACAAACAGACCACTGCTAGTATCCTTTGATAACGAAAAAGATGTAAACGAGATAATGAAAAACTAATGAATATTTTGAATAAATTAAAAGATGCCGAATATAAAATCAAAAATCTGCGGATTGGCCTAGACTGGAGTCTCAAGGAACGAGAAGAAGTCAGAAGATTGATAGCAAAGGCAAAAAACTTAAGCGAAAAGGAACAAATAGACTACGTGCACCATGTGAGGGGGTTGCAAATAATGAGAATGAAGAAAAAACCTCAAACCGGTCTTTATTAATCTGGTACACAAACATAGACATCATAACTCAAGACAAACTGCACGAAATCACGTGGAGAATGAATCAAGAAAAACGCAAGCCTGATGTCATCGCTCTAGTGGAAGGCAAACAGAAAAATTCTCGCGCAGATTGGAATCCAGTATGGCATAAAATCCAATACTATAACATAAAATCAAATAATATGATTCCATCTGATCCAGGACGCGAAATTTTAGTTTATATTAATGAAAACATTGACTACTCCTTGAACACAAATATTTCTTCTTTCTGTGAAAACTTGTTTTTAAAAATTAAAATTGGCAGGAACATCATCAACTTTGGTGTATTATATAGAAGTCCAAACTCAACTAAAGAAAATAACCACCAACTAAAAAATTTGATGACCAATTTGAACGAAACACAGTCAAATGATTCAACACTATTAGTGGGAGACACAAATCTGCCACAGATAGATTGGGAGGCCATGAGTACATTAAAAGATGAAAATAGCACTGACTTCACCTTTATAGAGGCAATAAAAGACGCACTAATACCACAACTTATCAAAGAGCTTACAAGGCTTACTGACAGAGTTAAGGCATCACTGCTTGATGTTTTGATGTCAGATATAGTCTTAAAAGATCTAAACATCACGTTAGAGGCGCCAATCGGAAAAAAGGACCACGCTCTTGTCAAGATAGATGTGCCAGTAAAGATGGTTAAATCCAAATGTAAAAACCGCAGAAACTATGAAAAGGGAGACTACCACGGGATGAGAAACCATCTAGCTGACCAAAGGTTCAGTTAAATACATGGGAAAAACTGAAAAACTGCATGAAAGAGTTAGTCGAAAGATTCGTGCCTTTAATTAGGATACGCAGCAGTGGCAACCAAATGCCGCTAGCAAGGGCGGTGCGCATGAAGATAAAAGAAAAAAAGAAAGCCTGGAAAACATTCAAAAATTATCAAACAGCCAAAAATTTAATCAAATATAAAACCAAACGAAATGGAGTTACATCTGCCACGCGATCGGAGGCACTCACAGGTGAAAAAAAAATATCATCAGAAGCTAAAACTAATCCGAAAAGTTCATGAGTTACGTGCGTTAAAAAACTACCATAAGAGAAGCAATCCCCGCTTAAATAAAACCAAATGGTATGCTAACTGACACAGACGACGAAAAGGCAGAAGTGCTCTCAAAGTTCTTTGCATCGGTTTTCACTAACAAACCCCCGGGTAACTGGGAGATCAGCCCTCCACCAACCGCCAGCAATGATGACAACCTGGTGCTAACAATGAATGACGTCCGAGAAGAAATCAATCGGTTAGACACTTCAAAGTCGCCTGTACCAGATGGAATTCATCCTAGGATCCTATTTGAATTACGAAAATTTGTCATAAAAAAAAATTTTGATTATTTTCCAAACCTCTTGGGAGACAAGCAAATTACCCGAAGCTGGAAGTTGGCTAACATTTCTGTAATATTCAAAAAAGGTAAAAAATCGATGGCAGATAACTATAGACCAATCAGTTTAACATCAATATGTTGCAAGTTGTTCGAAAGCATTTAATGGATCATTTCAATGAAAAAGGGCTAATAACAAATGCTCAATACGGTTTTCGATCTGGACGTTCACTGAACTTACAACTCCTGAAAGTAATTGATGACTTCACAAGGGCAATGGACAAACATGAAAATGTCGACGTGATATGCTTGGACTTCAAGAAAGCCTTCGATTCGGTACCACACAAAAGACTAATCTGAGTTCTTAGACAGTATGGAGTAACTGGAAGAATTTTGAACTGGATAACACACTTTCTTTCGGGACGACAACAGACAGTGGTAATCAACGATTCAAGATCCTCATGGCAGCCAGTAAAAAGTGGGATTCCCCAGGGTTCAGTACTCGGCCCAGTACTGTTTTTGATATACATCAACACAATGCCGGACAAAATAGCGTCAAAAATATATCTGTTTGCTGACGATGCGAAATTATACCGTCAAATTGAAGACAAATCGGATGTAACACGCATACATGAAGATTTACAATCACTAGAAACTTGGTCAGGCCAAAGTCTTTTGTCATTTAAAATTGACAAATGTGTTCACATGACAATAGGAACCAAGAAATTGGATATGGAGAGGATTTATAAAATCAAAGGCGAGAACATTAAAGAAGTGCAACTCGAAAAAGATCTGGGTATCTGGCTTGACAACAAACCGACATTCGAAACACACATCACTAAAAAAGCCAAAAAGGCAAACGGCATGATAGCAGTAATTAAGAAAAGCTTCATTAAATTCACGAAAGAAGTATTTTTAAACATCTACAATGGACCCCTCTATAGGCTCACAGGTGAACGTCCGATAAGTGAAGACATCGTTGAACGTCGCTGGAGATACTTTGGGCCTGTGTTTCGCCAAGTCAACACGCCCCCTTGCCAAGCGATGAACTTCTATATGTCCCCAAAGACAACCGGTGGTTTTCCTGGCCGACCTAGAACCACAACCGTTACCACTATCAGTGAAGAACTCAAGAACCTGGACACAAAAACAACTTTCTGGCGAGTCAACGACATCATGAAACTCTAGAACCTCAGTGACCTCCAGAAACTCCGAAACGTTGCTATCGTCAGAGAAAATTGGAAACTCCTTTCTAATTCATATTGCTGCGGCTGCCAAAACAGGAAACTTATCATTGAGTTACTTGTGAAATTGGCGTTTACTACTACAAATGCTTGATACGGCCATATCTTGATTTTGCGAACTTAATCTAGCACCCAAGGCTGATCAAGCATCAAAAGATCTTGGTAAACGTACAAAGAAGAGCGACGCGTATAGTTAGCGACGCGTAATTCTATCCTATTACGAACGCCTTAAAGAACTGATTCTATCATCGCTGGAATACAGAAGGAAAAGAGGGACAATGATAGAATTGTATAAAGTCTGCTATGGTTTGTATAATAGGAATGCCACTGCCTGACTCTTCGAGCGGAACGATAGGGATTCTAGAGGTAAGCGTGTAAAGTAGTAGTACGTAAAGCAAATCTAGAAATGCGAAAAAATTTCTTCACGATAAGAGCACCTCTCGACTAGAACAATCTGCCGTAGGAAACAGTGCAAAGCAAGACCATCGACGAATTCA